TCCTAAAACTACGAGGTTTTATAGGTCCATGGGTCTGTCCTATTCTTCTATCCTTGGCATATGTCAGACTAAGCGACGACATGTGTTCAATTTGCTCAATTAGCATAACTCGGAAGCTTTCTTGTGTACTTGCTTTTCCTCAAGGATAAGGACAAACTTGAGTAAATGTGATTTGCGAACGTACTCTTGCCTAAGGTGGCGGTTTAGTTCCTTAGACAAAATTCTGAAGTTCAAAGTTTGATTGTCATTTTTTTCGACGCCCACTTCTATAACACCGATTTGAGGTCTTATCTTGTAATAGCCAAGATTTACTATGTATCGAATTTGCCTTTTTTGAAACTCCGTTTTTGCCCATGGTTTCAATTTTTTTCATCTCTCGAAGCCATCGTTGTTCGTTTATGTAGTGCACTTGAGCAGCACTAAGGAAGTAGATTCAATTTCCATCCTCTTCACCTCGCTCGCTAGTCCATTTGATAGAATGTCAAATTTCATTTTGCCACCGAGAACCCATTCCATTGTAGGTTTTTGTTAGAGATAGAATGTGGTAATCTTGTCTAAGCTTTGTCGTTTTATTTGAAAAGCATGTTTTCGCAAGGAATCCTACTGGGTGGCCCGCTGTTTTTCTTTCTTAATTCGGACTTTTTCTTGTTTGTCCTCATTTGTTCGTTTATGCGTGCTTTTCTTTTGTCTTTTGTAGAGGCTCATTAATCCCCCTCTTTTCATTGATTTTTCTTGAGCGAGAGAAGATGAAATGTGGAAATAGTGCAAGCACTAAATTCCTAAGGTTTGGCGCTGAGAGGCATCAAATTTCATTTTTCAAGTGGCATAGCAGATAATTCACAGCTAGTCTGTCACAAGCATAAATCTGTGCCCGTAAGAACAAATTTGATGAACAAATGTCATGGTCCTAATACGTCTAGAAAGCTATGCAGCCCTCATCGAAGCTGTATATGTTTGTTTCATGTATTCAGCTCAACTGTGGAAAACCTTGGGTTTCAAACAAAGTGAGGTCATCCCCTCTGATATGACAGTGATGTTAGCGTAAGGCAGTTCCTAGTCATAAATTTTTTACAAGGGAACGATCCCAACTTAAGGTGGCGAATTGGAGTGAACCGCATATCATTAGATGCGTCTTGATGAGCTGATTCCAAATCTACCTTCCATATCTGCGACAACGTTATATGGAAGAAGTTATGAAAGCTTAAAAACGTGAAGTAACGGGAGTTTTAGTGCATAATTCGCTTCAAAATCCAACTTGGGAGTGTAGGACTAGCATCATATTGAGTGTACTGATTTCACGAAATGCTCACTTCAAAAGAAACGCAAATAAGTGTTTTTGAACAAATAATTTTCGAAGTATTGCGCTGCATATTTGCCAAATTTGGACTTTTCATTGTTCATAGCTTTTATCAAAGAACTTTAGTTGCTTTTTAGCTGTTCAAAAACATTTATTTGCGTTTCTTTTGAAGTGAGCATTTCGTGAAATCAGTACACTCAATATGATGCGAGTCCTACACTCCCAAGTTGGATTTTGAAGCGAATTATGCACCGAACCCCCCTTAATTCACATTTTTAAACTTTCATAACTTCTTCCAGATAACGTTGTCGCAGATATGGAAGGTAGATTTGGAATCAGTTCATCAAGACGCATCTAATGGTATGCCGTTTATTCCAATTCGCCACCTTAAGTTGGGATCGTTCCCTTGTTAGTTTTCATTGTATGAAATATTTTCGGAACTAGCATGGAATGGGAGTTGCAGCTATCCTTTTTCAGTATCGTGTGAAGCTTTTGAGTTTTAATCTCTCCTCTTTCTTTAGCTTTAGTCTTCTTTTAGCAATGAGAGAAGAGGAACAGAGGACTTTTTTGTCATAATGTGCGCTTATTCAAGAAAAGCTGGAGAAATCAAAGTTCAAAATCTCTGTTTGAGCAGGTTCACTGAGATTGGCTAAAGAAAAATGCGACAAAGAGGAGTTGATGACGTCTGAATGGACCATTTTACCATCCTATCTTGTCTGATGGAGCTTAGAGAAGTATTTATTGGCTGAATGGTTCTCTCGCGAACACTTTTCTAACAGAAGAAAGCAAAATGTACCGATGTTTTACCGTCTTTTTGTTAAGGACATAGAAAAGAGCCTTTTGGTTTGACTTTCATCACAGTCATTTGCTCGTTAAAATATGCTTTGCGAGGCTTCCTCACTCAAATTGCACTTTTTGAACTCATCTCATTCGATCTTGGCTTTGCCGATTATTGCTACCAAAAACTCATTATAGAAGAAAAATGCTCTTCTGCTGCTGTGGCGGTCGTAAATTTCACTTTCCAAAAATCACTTTAGTGTTTTTTCTTGACACCGAGTTCACGTCGTTCGTTGTTTACGATTTGAATCGTGCGGAATCTTATCTGCTCAGGCAAAGGAGTGCCAAATCGAGTGCGCTTATTAGATTTGCTATCTCGTCGTATGGGGGGCTTCTTTCTGAGCACACACACACAGCCACAGCTTCCTTCTACTAGCTAAACTGCACGTTATATACTAGACAAATCGATGCATTTTTGACTTTGTTGGGTTTTGCTTTGAAAAATTACCATAATGGTGTGATTGTGTTGGTCCCAGCACTTCCAAGGGTGTTCTTCCTTTTCGTTCAAAAATTCGGCGTTTTTTAGGCTTGTGCTGATTATTTCGAATCTTTGTTACACAAATTTTTTTTGAAGAAGCTTTACCCTCACTCCCCTCACCTCCCAGTAAGACGGGACTCCTAGAATCTTCTAGAAACCTCATCTCTTGTCATTGCAAAGGGTTTCTCTTTTTCTCCAACTCGACTTTTTCGAGCGAAGAAGCTGTCCAATCAAATCTAAGATGATTACGTAGACTTGAGGCAAATGAGCGCTTCAAAGTTTTTCAGAAGAGCGTTCCGGACCCACCCAACTATCCCCCACGGTCCATTATGTGGTCTCCTAATTGCCATTGAAGTGGACTTGGTCCTCGACAACGTTCACGAACATTTTCTCTCTCTTTCCAAATGTTTGGAACAAATATGAATAGTTCTCTTGAGGCTTTCTCCCATCATGCAATGTGGACGCACACCAGAGAAATTTCTCTTGTTGCTTCGTTTTCCTTTTCCCCAGTGCTAGCCCTGTTTGTCTTCTTATTTCGTCATCATATTCTCACAGTCTTCATTTTGCCTCAGAAATTTCTCTACCATGTGGTTTTTGTGGAGCGAGATCGATGTCGAAATGAGATGGTTAACTGCCTTCAATTCTCTCCCACTCCCTAGTCATTTTCTGGACGAAGAGGGACTAATCACCATATAAGAATTCCCAATTACGAAAAGAAGCATTTGGGGGAAGGAAATTGGTTTTTTGGGTTTGTTGGTGGTCACCGCTTCAAAGGTTTTTCTCACGTTATAGCAAAAAATGAAGAAAATGCTAATTAATGTTAATTCTGAAATATTAGGTCGTTCCGAAAGTTCTTTCCGTTTTTTCAACCTATCATAAAAACACGTGGAATGAAGGCAGGAAAACGCTTTAGTCACTCTCTGACGCAGCTTTTCTTCCTCTTTTCAACTGTCATATTCCTGTGCCGCTTGCTCTTGCGATCAGTGAGATAATGGCCGAAATTTCGAACCCATGGTTTTTACCATGTATAACTTTGGCAATTTTTCAAAATCTTCTTTTTTGACTTTTGGAAAAGCTTTGATAGCCATCAGATAGAGTAAACAAAGTGCAATTTAATGCAATTTTTTGGCATTTATTGCTAGGCTCAAAAATTCTCTAGAATTATTTTTCTGATGCTATCAAATTCCACTTTTGGGGATGCCAAAAGCCACAGAACATAAAAAGGCGCACAACTAAGGTGTCATTCAATGCAGCTTTTTCTCCTCTTTCTGATGAGTGCTTTCTCTTATTAGTTTGTGGGGTCTTTGGCGATAAAATTTCCGTAAATCTTGATTTTGAACCCGCCTCATGATGTATCCGTGCAATGCAAAATCTTATATTTCGAAGCGGTAAACGCTCAGTTACTTTGTAAAAATAGTGTACAATCATAAACGACTTTTGAAAGTTTCGAAAATCGAAGATTTGTTGATGTTCAGAGCGTTTGTGTGTGTTTTGTGACTTCGAAAAAGTGAAGACTTCTGAAAAAGTTATCTAAAAAAATAATGAGAAGCCGGCTGAAATTGCCAAAAAATTCCATTGCATTGCACTTTGTTCACTCTATCTAACTGCTTTCATAGCTCCTCCAAAAGTTAAGAAAGAAGATAGTGAAAAATTGCCAAAGTTGGACATGGTAAAAACCATAGTTCCAAAATTTCGGCCATTATCTCACTGATCGCTAGAGCAAGCGGCACAGGAATATGACAGTTGAAAAGAGGAAGAAAAGCTGCGTCGGGCAGTGCCTAAAGCGTTTCCCTATCTTTATTCCACGTGTTTTTATGATATGTTGAAAAAACGGAAGGAACTTTCGGAACGACCTAATATTTTCGGAGAAGTGACCATCACTAAAACCCAAGAAACATTTTTTTCTTTTTCAAACTTCTTTTTCTGGTTTTATGCTGGTCATTTCTTAATCAATTTTTTTTGCTCATGTCGATGAGAACGTAAAGAAAGAAAAGCTTCTATGGTCTAAATTTCAAGCTGTGAATTGAATTCCAAATATGACGAACAGTTTCCGCTCGAAGTAACTTCCGTATATTTCTTAGAAATCCTTTATGTTTGCATTTCTCGTGCAACTTTATTTTCCTGATTTTTAGTCCGCTTAAATTGATGGCTTTCACGGTGGTGTTTATTTATAGCCTCAATTTATCGACTTACTTATCTCAAGCTCATTTTTACAAATGGGGCTGAAATTTTGTCATAAATCTTCAAGGCGATGAAAAAGCTGTGAATTTTTGAACTTGGCCCTTCCTTCTAAATCTACGAATCAGATCATCTCGTACATCACTTTGCAGACAAGTTTCTTCCCAGCGAACTTCATAGTTAATCAGCCTTTATAAATGTTTTTTATAGCAAGGCCTGGCGAGATCTTGGACAACGATCTCGCGACGAATCAATGGCGAGCTTCATTTTTCTGATGGACCGCGTATGTCCCCCATTCAAGAACTTCATTGCTGAACACGCCGAACCACCAGCGTAAGTCGTTTGTTGTCGTTTTCCATAAAAATGTATGTTGGAAAGATGTAAAGGGTTGTCTTGGTTCAGCGTGAATATCTTAAATTACGGTAATATATTAGCAGATTGCCCATAAGTCTTTTCTCTAAACTTTGATCGACATAAGCAGTTCTTCTAACACTCGTGGTAGGATGCGGGTTACCATTCGACAGATCAAAGCAAGCTCCACGAAATGGCGTTAAAAAGTTCGCACCAAGTTTGATTAGCATCAAGTCAAGCCAGTATGTGAAGAACTTAGAATTCCCAAAAGGACGGAAATAATCGTATCGCCTTTCAAAACAATCATGCAAACCTCCCACTCTCTCAAGCATGTATCCCCATCATATATTGATACATGCATGCAAAATAAAAAGACTTGTGAGATAATCTCATACATTGTCATCTGTACATTTTCATGCACTACAATGTCTTGGTCTGACCTGATGGACTCCAGAGAACCCGATCAGAAGGTTCCAGAAGCTTTTGGATCTCAGTAGAGTGTATTGTGAATCCCCAAGATCTTTACTAATAATCTATAGCATTCGCTATAGCTCAATGCGTAATGCACAAGCCATTAAGATTGCTCAAATTTAAATGGATCCTATTATTCGCATCAATGTCTTATCGTCCTGTGCTGTGTTTCATTTAGAAGCACAATTAATCCGCTGCCTTCAGCGCCACGGAAGTATTGATTTGCTCCTCATTTTTGCAACGGAGACGTGGTGCTCATTTCATCTACCTGTATTCTTTTGTAGCAATTTCTAGTACTTTTTTGATATAGTCATGTAGAAGCCCAGAGGGGTAGGGTGGTTCAGTTACAGATTTTGCTTCATAGGGTTCCATTTTAAGGTCAATAACTTTGCGAAAAAAACACATAAGTAGTGTGCGAATCTTGTTTTTCTGTCCGATTCTGATCAGATTCCCTGAGGAATTCCATATTGTGTCGAAAACCTTGTTATTGCATGCGAATCACTACATCTCCTCTTGTAACACCGCTAGAAAGGAGTAACTGAGTGAAATTTTGTTACAATTACACCCGACGAGTAGATTTAATTTGATAATTGTTAGCATATTTCTAATTTTTGTTCATGAATAGAATATATGTGGAGGGGGGGGGGGGGGGAGTAGAATAATCAGTGGTGGTAAATTAGGCGCTCCTGCCTTCTCTTGCTATTGTCTGTCTTACTCACAAATCATATGCGAATTAGTGTAATTTTGTTCTTTTAGTGAAAGTTCTGAGTTGCGGCAGCTGGACTCGGCAACGCATCCACAAGAGCACAAGGTGAACTGGGAAGTCTTTGAAGCACAAAAGTAGGTTTCCAGAGCTGTTCAAATTTTCGTAACCGCCTACATCCTAAGCGTTATTTTCTTCTTATTTTGCCTGGTGCATGTGCTCTACGTCACCTAGAAGCTTTTTTGCGAAGCAAAAGAAACACAGGCATATATATGGACACACATAGTGTGTCAGAGTAATCGGGTTAGCAGTGGATAAATTGGTTAGGTTTTCGCCTAGTAAGTGAGGCAACGTATAAAATAGTTTGTATGATCCATTAATGCTATCTCGAATCAAGACATCATTACTTTAAGTTGTTAGATTTGAAAGCAGAGTCGGTGGCGTTTCCTAATTGATAGTTCTTTTCTCACCGTTACGGGATAACTTGGAATATGAGTTGTGGAAATATGCCCCTCTTCTGTTTTACAGTCATTAGCGAGAATACGGTGATCATGCCCGAATTAGTTGGCAAAAGTTTTCAGGGAGCGGGGTAAAAAGAGGGCATTGGCATTTCTGTCCGAATTTTTTTTTTTGAGATATTCTGGGGAGCTTACTTGGCGGGTAGTTTTCTCCAATTCAGTTCAGTTTTGATAGATTCGCCAATCTGTTATAATTTTTAACATGTAAAAACAGTCGTTTGTATAATCTAAAAGAGATTTTTTACTTCTCACCTAATGAATTCTAGAGGGGCTTGAGCAATCACTTATTCTGCGAAATAGTTATCGAGACATTCAACTAGTTATCCATAGTTATTTTTTCTAGACACTGCCTTTAGAGGACTCTAAGGTAATATATCATGCCTATGGAGCTAACCGCCCATTTCCGTTCCATACCTTCCATTGGAGCATGCATTTCTTTTTAGTATACGAACTCTCACATAGATGATTCAATTTCTTGACGAAAATTTCTCACTGCGTCAGGCTAATCTTGTCAGTTCTTTTTCCACAATCATTTCAAAGTCTCATTGTCTGCGATAATTTATTTTTTTCCAGTCTTTGAGCTCAACTTTTTTTTTCTAGAGACAAAGCAAGCACCTAGCATTGCTTATTTTTTGCGTTCTGATCAATTCAAATTTGCTTTCGGTCTTTAGAACTTTTTCAAAGTAAAAGAATGTTGTGAACCAGTTTCTACTCTTATCTTGTTTTAGAGAAATTTCCAGGAAACAAATACAAGAAGCTTTGAACGCGCAAACCTTCCATCAATTCAGCGCCTACGCTCAACAACAGTTTCCCGGACAACCAGATCAGGTTAGTAATGTGTGCAAGCTTGGATAATCACAACTACAATTTTATTTACCCATGATTGTAAGCGGTATCGGTTTTGAGCACATTATATCACTGATTTTGAAGTATTCACATCACACGTCGTCGTTCGAATCAACACAGAGTTATCCATTCTTTCACTTCTTTTTGGACGTCTCTTGTAATACTCGTATCGAAAATGTACATTACCAGTTTCTGAAAAACGCTTTGGTATTGAAGCTTCTACTATTTGAGCGAAAAACCCTACCTTATTCGCTTTCGGTTCATCGTCATCCTTAGTTTTTGAAGTCAAATCTTCCTCTGGGGATCGACGTTTAGCTGATGTAACTAGCGCTGTATGTAGATTTCGAACAACTGTGTCATCCACATTTCGATTTCTTGATACGTCAACTTCACGCAGTAGGTGAACATTACGTAGCCATGCCAACGCAGAAACTCCCTTACTGCAAATGTGTAAACGATCTTGGCTTTGTGTTGAGTTCCATACCTCATTATATGTTTACTCGAGCAGTGATATGGCTAGCTATACATTTCAATCTGTCAGGGCAACAACTTCGTATCTATTTTCTAGAAATTGCGCTACTACTTTTCAAAGTCTAGGAATAGCCCTTAGCACAAATTTGCTTTCTTATTCACGGATTGCAGCAAATGCGCTTTTCAGAAGTACCGTATGCCCACCACAACCGCAGAAAAGAGAATACCACAGCAAAAGTTGCAGTATTTTCGATCTGTTCAAAATGAACCGCTAAGTAAGATTTCAGCGAATTCAATGAATCTACCCGTACCGTATACCTACCGTAATCTCATAAGTGCTAATTTAAATTGATTAATGATGTATTCGTAGTCAATGCATCAACAAAAGTTTAGCGGATTGGTTTCCTACCGTATACCTACAGTATCGGCATAAGTTCATCTAACTACCGCGATATTTGCGTATCCTTGATCGGTATCCCATTAACAGCCATACAAAATCCCAATTTCAAGATTTTGATCTATACAGTGCACCTACCATATCCCCGCAATCCCTTCTGATCACCGTGGTTTCACTACATTAATGTCTTTTGAATTTAAGCTTATATTGCGATTGTGGTCAAATACGGATCTTTTTTCTGGTATCATTCTACAAATTAAGCTGAAAGTACCATTTGATGTAGATTTTACTTACGCCAGTAGGTCACATGGAGGTGACCCGTCGCAAGGAAACATTTGAGACAATTTGCTGCGTATTAAAGTGCTCCCCACTGGATTCTCGATGCCATGACTTCACCCCAGCCCAGACGCAAAGCACGTTTTTTGCTCTTCAGAAGCTTTGCACTAGCAAAGCTCAGTTTTTACTCGAAATAAAAACATTGATGTGGCAGTTGCTTGGGTGTGCGCTTGTGTGTGTATCCTCTACCAACTTGCAAGAGCAATCATTCTAACCTTGTGATCGACGTGCACTCTGCGATCGAGATCGTTTCGAGTTCTCGTTGTGTTGAAGCCAATGTATACATCATCTCATCAGTAACAGGCCCACATTTGTTGATGGTCAGCTGAAATATTGATTTTTACAGTAAAAAATGGCAACTGATATTTTTTTGCTAGTGAAATTTGAACTGCAAGTTACGTACAAACAAACCTCTTTCAGTTGACAATGCGTTAGAGCGATAGTCACTCCTCTAGTAGTAATATTGAAACAATTTGCAATAATTAGACGTTTTAAATTTCCATAGGAACAGAGAGTGAGGAGGTCTTCGTTGGCGAGGTTCATAGTGTTTCGAATCTCCAGAGAATGTAATTGAGTACAGCAATTGAGCGCAGTATATCCCAGAACATTTTTGCATTTAATTAGTGAGATCTCTTCTAAATTTTCAACCCGTGAAAGAATTGCATGTAGAGAGGCTTCGGTTAGACCGAAGAGATTCTGAAATGGGCAACTTTTAAGCGGGAATTTCAAAATTTTCAAGACTCACATTAAAACGAAGCGTCTCCAATTTTGTTAAAAATGCCAAGCCTTCAAAATTTAATTCGCTATTTTGATTATGTCCCAATGAAAGATGTCGTAGATTTGGCAGAGAGCCAATAGCATCGATAATATCGTCATCAAGCATAGGAACCGGTGATGCATGAAATTCTTCGAGTTCATCCCGTCCTTCCAAAAATTCGAGTAAAGTCTCGGGTGGAAAAGCATGGGCTCCACTGATTTCGATGAACCTGGAAAGGATGGATTTACCGTAGTTTATTTCTGTGCAGGACCCGTTTTACCGTGGGATAGACTAGGAAGTTCGGAATCGAAATAGGAAATGAAATAATTGACTCTAATAAACGTTTTAGTGATGTTTAAACGAGTGAATGCATAATGATGATGCAGCTAAGTATGTAATTCAATTACACAATTATCGAATCACCGTAATCATGCTTATGACGCAACTCATTCTGATTTCTTTTGTGCCCTCTCCATCCCCCTCCCCCTCCGCTCCTTTTCTTTGCTGTTACAAATAATATAATTTCTACAGAACTTTGACCTCATTACTGACAGCTCATTAATGTGTGAATTTCTGGTGAAAAAGCAAAGATTGAGATCAATTTACTTGAGAGTCATGGGTAGATCGGCAAGCTTCGTTAGTTGAAATAAGGCAGAACGTAGATTCAACTTCCGCAACCTTTTCATATCTTTGAAATAGTTTTGGACCTAAATTCCTTCATTAATTTTCTGCTACGGTACGACTACCGTACCTTTGCTGCATATTGATTGTTTATCCAACTAGTCTCTTCCAGCGAAAATTCTTCTAGTTGTGGAGCAATCTTTTCCAATAAGGGACTCAGATCTGCGCTTAGTATCACTGCTCCAAGATCCACAACACGGAGACGAGTGCATTTGCTGGAATAAGCGGGGTTACTGGAGTGAAAAATCAATTTTGCTTGATTATTCACTTTGCAATACAATCGATAATCGGCTGCGATATACGTAACCATCGTTGTCCAAAACTCAGTTGTTGTACATAACGTCCGCATCGTTCAATCACACCAACTACCGTAGGAAGAAAGCTAAGGCTGTCCTGAAGAGTCATCATTTCATTATTTTCATCATAACATGTGTTTTCTTTTTTTCTAGGAGCATTTGCCCGATTTTTCGGGCATGTGACCCATGCTACCCTTTGGGCTAATATCGCGGTAATAAATCAAGTTTCTTTCCCTTTGAGACCTAGATGATTCCAAAGTGATGAGAGAAAGACGTGAATCCATTCAAGTTCGACATGCATTTCATTCCCCCCCCCCCTTCTCTCCTTTCACTGAGTCTAGAAATTTCTGGCAAGTTTCACATGCAGAAGGTGGTCATGTGTTCTATTGACGTGATGCTATGCTAGGATGTAACAGGTGCTACTAATAAAAACTTTGTTATTGGTTTGAGTGCTGCATTCAATCTTTGATCAGCCATAGCTTGGATTAGCAGCATGATTTTTGAGATTTTTTTCTGGATTAGCTGAGAAAATACTGACAAGGGAATGGTCAGAAGTCGAAGTGGCCAAACCAAACAAGCTGTATATCATTCGATGCAGTATAAAACGCTGACTTCGAATCTGTCTTCCTTATCTGCTTCCCGCTTCTGTGGACGAAGCTACAAGCGGTTTTATTGTGAAAAAATCGTACATAAAAACAGCGAAATTGAGCACATTGCTGCACTTTTAGCTCGGCTTCTGGCTTCAAAAATTTTAAGTAAGCTAGCTGCATGTTTTGGCCCAGCATTGAGGCGAACAAGGCTCTGTACGGCTAAATTTTAAATTTCACGCATAATTTCTAAGCAAAACAATGGTCTTTAATGGCTTATAACTTCGTCCAGAAAAGCGATAAGCAGATAAAGAAGACAGATTTAGAGTCAGCGCTTCATGCTGCGTCTAACGCTGGGCAGCTTGTCTGGAATGGCCACTTCGATTTCTGACCATTCCCTTGTGAGAAATGTTTTTTGGGAAATGTGCGAAGAAAAACTGGAAAAGTTTAGTATTCAAATTACCAGTTGACCTTAGGTTTCTATTTTTCCTGGCTTATTCGGTTCTAGGGATCTCCTTTTATCGAAGTTGTTCAATGTATTTATAGTAAAAGATTCTAAATTACACTACTACTCTACAAATTCTGCAAAAAATTTCATCAGGGGGGGGGTTGTTCCTGACCCTTAAAAATATCTACTTCCGTAATTTAATTTGATAAACATTCACACCTGTTGGTAGTAATCAGTTGAATTGCTGATAAGAAATTGTGAAATATCCAGCTTGACATTATCACAGAAGGTGGATTGTTGCTGAAACGTTGATTTATGAAAAAAATCGCGTAAAAAGATGGATAAGAATGTGAGAAGTTTGATCGTTTAGGGCGGATAGCGCGCTACCGTACTCATACCGTAAGCTACCGTAGTCAAAATGGCGCCTGTGAATCGAAGCAAATGCGCGTTTTGTGGTGACTTTTACGTCTGAATTATTAAGAAAGCAACAAAATAAAAACCTGAAGAACTTACATGCAGAACATAGTAGAACATACGGCAAACATTTTCCAGACGTACTCGTTCGATAAAGTCGAGATTGAGAAATATTTGCGCCAGACAGTCTCGATTAAGTGTGTCCATATAAACGCGTATATGTACAGAATTCACTAGAGACGGTAGATAATCTCTGCAAAGTTTGCTTAGTTTTGACATATTTGTAAGCAAACTGCGAAAATAAGGTGCGGCTCTTCAATGGCGTCAACTGCGAGGCGTTTTAATGACGTTTTTGCGAAAACATAGTTGAAATGAGCTAAATCAATAGATTGGTGAAGTAATAAGAAATTTTTATTTCAAACTTTCTCGTTCTGTTGTTTTTTCATTACATGGTAGATATGACAAATTTTTTGTGCCAGGTTGTGCAGGCTTTTATAACGGCGCGCTTTATGTCTTTTTCGTCTGGAGATAGTCACTCTGGTCTGCGGTTCGTGATGAATCATGATATGCGATTCTTAACCTGGTGTGGTTCATAATAGTAGCGCTTGTGCTCGTTGTTATCAGTGTTCTTGCAAGAAAGAGGGAAAGTTGCAGAGTTTGCGCTTTTTGGAGTTATTTTTATCCTGGTAAAAATAACTTCAAAAACTATTGCTGTAATAGGAACACGTCAAGCCGTATGAAGAACAAGGGGAAGGTTAGCTAGAGCAGACAAAATAAAACTTAAGGGCCGGTCATTCTTCACGCGATTTCAGTAGCGACGCGATTTGGTAATTCGCCAAAAGCCTTCAGATGCAGTATTAGCAAACTGCACATGCACAGTTTTGTATAACTTCTGTGGATTGATAAAATGCCCTATCTTCTGTACATTTGAAATGTGCTTACAGTGAGTTATGGATAGTTGGAATATTGCCAAATCGCGTCGCGACTGAAATCACGAAGTATGCCCGGTCCATTATAGAGGACTTGAATCACTTCGAAGTGTGGGATCAAAACTCAGAAACTTTTGTTGCTACTATTTTAGAGAAGTCCTTAGATTGCAAAATTTCCAGGGTTATATAGGAGTTTCTCACAGTTTTTGCAGCTCAATTAATTTCTGTGAGAAATTTCTTCTTCATCTATATGTTGTTTTTGAAAGCATCAAAATTTTTTTGGAAATTTTGAATCAAAACGAATGCGTGTCGCAGAAGCCACGCCTACGTTCTCAATTCTGGCATATTTTCTTGGCGAAAATTTCTATTTTTGTTTGCTGGATTTTCACGCCTACTCTTTTGAATACCAAAAGTTTTTTATTTTAATTTGCTTTCGATTGGTTGAAATTTTTTATCTCACAAGGTTTGATGGATTGAGCGTTCTGCTTTTCGAAGTACAAATTGTCACGAGTCAGGTGTTGCTGATTTTGCTTCCGCGTGATACATAAAGCTTGATTTATTGGTAATTATGTTTAATGCACTTTGGGGTCTTGAATTATTTCAAATTTTGTTGGAAAAACATTTATTCTCTTTGTGAATGAGTTTTTTGGGGTTTTCTTACTATACCGAACGTTTTTCACCCAGATGTCTCCGCTCAGGTCGACTTGCCCCCTCGGACGTTCCGTTCTCTACAGCTTGGTTCAAAATCAACAAAGCACTTGTGAAAAGTGGCTGTCGAGCAGGCGTAGAGGTTAAGAACTTATCGCATCTCGAATTTTCGCAGAGGACTGACTTTGATCAGGACTGGGTTCGAATCTTGAGATAGAAAAAGGAAGAAAAATGAATGTTATCAGTAGTCTAGGAGTAATTCAGAAATTTATAGGAAGCGTTTGTTTTTCGAAAGAGTTGATAGCGCATGTAGTGCCTTACACGATTTGTGGACTTATAAGCCGATTGTTTGACGAATAGCTGATTATATTTGGTAATTGAGTGGGCAGTCTTGGAATGGAATTGAGACTTCTGAGAAATTGCAAATTCTCTCAGAAATTGGAGCGCAAAGGGATCATAACGCTCGTAAATAATCCGTTATCATCTTGATAATGGGGTGAGAGAAGTGCAAATCGAGGATTTTTGGACATAATTTTGGGACGAATTCTGGTGCGCTAAAAAGTTAGGGTTTGTGGACAAAAAATATGTGGGATTTGGGGTGAAGCAAGCGAGGGGGGGGGGGGGGGGGCTAAATTAAAGGTGGGATCTGAATAAATAACATGTTGTTGCTGGCTTGGTAAAGGTAAAAAAACAACAAAGGGCAGATTTGTAGACAAAATCTGAAGAAAAGGAAATGTTGGCAAAGAAATTCTGTGATTGCGTCCTTGCGGCCTAATGATGGCCCTACTTTAAGTTATTTAATTTCTGCTCGATCCTCGGGATTTCTAGTAAAGCTTATATCCCCTGGGATTGAGATATGAATTCATAAAATAATCCGTGGGTCTTGAACGGAATGGCCAGCTTGAAGTGAAGTGGCTGAACGAGTAGGTAAAAGTGATAGAAGTGGATACGTGTGCGTGTGCAGCCGCGCTCGGGATCAAATAGAGATAAGGCGTGGAGGGACGGGCTTGTTGGCCGTGGCCAAGGCACAGAACCGACGGACGGACGAGATGTGCGTGAAGGAACGCGAGAGCGGTAGCACCCATCACAATTCGACTCTGGTTCGCTGTAAAGTGCGACTTAACTCTCGAAAAGACTCGGCTCTCTGGGAACAGCAACAGCTGATCGTCTGCAGCCAGCCGGCCGTCCGGCTGGCAGCCAACGGTCACAACATGTTGCTTGGCTTGTGCTTGTGCGCTGTGTGTGACGGTCAGGTCGTGTGACAATATCTCTCGCTCTTCAATCGCTCATCGTGCAGTACACTTGAGTACTGAGCACGTTTGATGAGCGGCTGCAGGGAGCGAGAGTTGTGGCTGTCGTCGAAAAATGCAGTTTCTCACGTTTACTTTGAAAGCTGTGGACCACCCAAGAGCTTCTGGTTGGGGGAAGTTCAGGTATTGGAAAAAAGTTTAGGCAAAGCTTTCCAAAGTGGTCTTGGGTCATACAGTACAGTACCATGCGGTTACGGTAGAAGTGCGCACGCCATACTTGATCCACTTGCATCCACTTCGTACTGGTTAAATTACTGATATGACCAATAGCGAAGTGGATGAAGTGAAACAAATGGATCGAACTGCCTATTAGTCTCCAGTCATCTGGCCATCAGTGAAAATGGTGAAATGGCTAGGCTTTGCTATTGGTTGAATCAGCGATCTGACCAATAGCGGAGTGGATGAAGTGGAAGGACTGAGCTTTGCTATTGGCCACATCACCATTTCGCTATTGACAAAACGCTGATCTGACCGGTAGCGAAGTGAATCAAGTGGACTCCAGCTTCGCTAGTGGTCAGTTCACTAATTTGACCAGTAACGAATTGGATGAAGTGAATCGTATGGCGTGTGTCTTAAACATACTGTAGAGTTCAAATTCTTGTAGACTCACAAAGTCGCTGCAAGGAATGAACCTGGTTCGGTGTGTTTCTTATGCATTCTTGAAATGTGTGAAACAATTTGAGTGCTATTGACGTGAAAAGAGCTTAATTACCTGCTTGTAGTAGCGCGGTAATGAGCGCTTATTGCTATGATGTGACTGGCAAACGAACTAGTGTTTGCTGAACATAATTTCATTTCCTTGTTCTTGCATTCTCTCGTGTTTTATCTCATGCTGTGTGCGTGAGACTGACTACGCTGAAGTCTATGAAGGCTTGCAAACAATGGCTCTTAAATGAGGAGTTTTAGTAGGTATTGATTTGTAGTACTCTTCCTACTATCCGCGAGTACTTTGATCTGCGTTTTTCGATGTAATCCCTCAAATCCTTCCTCACTTTCTATGTTTATGGATTGATCGTGAGCTTTGAATAGCTGTTTTAAATCTCGAAATGTGTTTTGATGACATTTTGCCATTGTTAAATTTGCTCCGAAAGTTCTCGGGTCCTCACATTTCCATCTTTCTGCGCCTCAAGAATTTCTTGTTCCATTGCTCTTCAAAATCTCTTTGCCTCCTTAGCACCTGTTCTGTTTGAGTATCGTAGAAATTGTTGTTGTTTTCCAATGGTCACCCTCTCGGACTGCAGATCCGTTGAGCCTCGAAAATAGCCTAGACAGAGAACCAAGTGTTAGCTAGTCGCGGGACATATGGGCTAGTATTTCTCAAATATGATCATTTTCAGCAAGCAGCTTTGATTCGACAGCTACAAGAGCAACATTATCAACAATACATGTCGCAGGTTGGATCTAGAGTCTTTAGGTGAAAAATTATTTTATTTTGAAAATCTAGGTTTATGCCCAACAAGCCGAGGCTGCAGTGCCAGAGAGTGAGCGACGTGCTCCAAACACAAATGAGAAAGCTGAAGAAGAGCGTGCACGTGATGACGATAGCGATGTCAGCGATGAAGAACCTGGAGATGATCTGCCCTGTGAGTTTTTATTCCTTACTCTTAATTCCTTTTTTCGCTTTCTTTGTTTTCACCATTTTTTTCATACGATCTGCTTACGACATAGTAGATATAACAAGATATCTGGAATACTTTGCAGATATAACAAGATATCTGGAATACTTTATTTGTTTGTTTTGCCGTCACAGTCAGTCAGTTCCACGTAGGTAAACATGAAAAACAACAACATGCAATTGACCTTTTTGTTGATGTTCAGATGTCGGATCGAGTGACAAAATTCAAAAGATGAAATATTCACTGGCACCTTAAGAGATGTCAAAGCATAAAATTGGGGTTAAAATTCATGGAAACCGAAATTTGATAGCTTTTTGATAAAAGAAAGTACTAGAAGTCTTGAACTTTGAGCTTTGTGTCTGAATTTTTTTTGAGTTGAGCTGAAATTTTTTAGACGTTAACGCATTCACGACAAGGCCTAATTCTCAATTATTGCCGTTTCGGAACAGAGCCTTTTTCGATTTGTCAACTTATGACCCACCGATGGGTCGTGTTGTCCGAAGTAGCAGGACACGTACGACCCGCCGATGGGTCGTTGTCGTGAATGTGTAAGATCTTTGGAGCGAATTCAAATATTTATTAATATTCGATATTTTTGATTTCGATGCATAACACTAAGCGCCATTCAAACATTCGGAAGCAAGTTTTTTGGGAGGTTTTTTTTGGATGGATCATTTCAACATAACATGAACCACAATCTGAGTTTATCGAAAACTTCTTGCTTGATGGCTGAGGCTTTGATGAGCTGTTGCTTCCATAAATTCTTACATTTCTTTTTTACTAAAGTCCGTAGTCTAGATTTTGTATATTTTTACCTTAAAGGCACTAGTGTTTGTATTTCTTATCGATTTGATCGTGAATCAATTAGTGATTGTTTTCACACCATGTATTGCACAACATAGATGCGATAGGTGGAGAAATTTCTCTGACCCCCTTCACTTTAGGGCCGGCATCTGGCTGACCCCTTTCACCTGAGGTTGAGACTAATCAAGGCAAACAGCTATTACAAAGGAACTTTCGTTTGGACAGAAACGCCACCTGCTCTTCTCCTCAGACATCAAGACTGCAAGAGAGTATCGAATCAACAACATTTTGTTAAAAAAACATTCTTGAGACCTTCTCCGCGCTCAAAGGGCGTTGATAACGAAGCGCAATCAAAAAGTAAAAGGTGATTTTTTGAACAATTAACATTGTGTCAATGAATACATGCTTTGCAAAAAAGAGTTGAGCAAGAGTAAAAAAATCTGAACCGACTAGCGATGGATGCATGTTTGCTGACAAAAAATCATACCATATCTCTTTTCACTAAAGAGAATAATAACAAACAAAACAACAGTCAGATTACTCGTTTTTCATGCTTTCGATTCATATATAAAAGTTCGAAAAAGACCTTCTTGGTTGGAAAATATAATTACCCAAAATTGGCTGATATTGTAGCTAGATAAAACTGCTCGTATCTCGCTTCACAGAGAAGCTACGAAAAAAGAGACGGTCTACGTCGATTCCTCGCGTTCTTATCTATCGAATGGTATATAAGGTGCTGGTGCACAAAGCTTTCCCAGTCCAAAAAAGTCTTGCTCCGGCAACCCATAGAAAGCCGGAGCGGGGTGGAGCAAGTTACTATTGAATATCTCCACCTCATTTTTAAGAAACCACAAGTTTTTTCACCCGACAACCTGTACACCATTAGAAAGCCCACAAAAAAAGGATTCGACGTAGACCGTCTCTTTTTCTCTAGCTCCCCTCTACTTAGAGTTACACGGGATTTTAGCCAAAAAGATGTGTGTTTTTGTCGAGAAATTTCTGCGTGAAGAATGGATAAAGGTGCCTGATTTTCTAACTGTATCACAGAGCAAGACCTTGCCAGTAAACGTAGACCGTCTCTTTTTTTTAATCCTTGTTCTTTCTTTCAAAACTAAATTACAAAATAATTACACAAAATTAGCTGGTGAGTAGGCGTATGAAATCGCTCGTATCTCGCTCTACAGAGAAGCTATGAAAAAAGAGACGGTCTATGTCGATTCTCCATAATCTCAGCTTTCGAACGGTGTGAAACATGTTAGGGCTTTTCTGCTTCACGGCTCTAAAAAGCGCTTGCTCTGGTGACCGATAAAAGCCAATACATTGGGGGAGCTGGGTGGAGCAAGCCAATAGTAAATACCTCCACACCATTTTTAAAAACTGGCAAGTTTTTTCGCTCAGCAATCTATATACCATTCGAAAGCCCAGGAAAGGGGGATTCGACGTAGACCGTCGAATTTTTTCTAGCCGCCCTCTATCGAGAGATACACTGCATTTTACCTGAAATCATGTTCATTTTCAACAGCAAATTCTGCCAAACGAAGACCTAATCTGCTGGTTATCTATCTGCGTTACAGAGCAAGTCTTCATTAGCAGATGTAGACCGTCGACTTTCTCGTAGCATTCTTTTGGAGAGCAGAAAGTGAGGACACAAAATTAGTTGACACATGAAGTACATAAAATCCCTCAAATCTCGCGGAACAAAAGACCTAGGAAAAAGCCGACGGTCTACGTCGATTCTATATGACCTCAGTTTTCGAATGGTATGTAACTTGTTGGGGCATTTTGCTCTCAGGGCTCACTTACCCCCTTCACCTTACAAGGATGGGAGTAGCAGAGACCCCCTTCACCTGGAGAGGGCCCGGCTCCCCCTATCGCACCTATGTTGCACAACATCCACACCGCACGCTATCAGTTACGCTTTCTTTGCGTGTCATCTACACTAATAGTCACATTTTACTTTCCATATTGATGTTTGTTTGTTTAAAGTGTCGTCTATCCATGCGCAAATGGGACTCTTCTGTCATTGTGGGTTTGTTGAAATCTCATTGTCTCAATGGCGAGGAGTTTGGGGTTTATTTTGGAACTCCAAGGCCTCATACCTCAGCTTCGTGTACCCAATTTGTCACTCGTAAATTTGTTGTGCAGAAAAAAAAAACGCATGCCAATCAACTATGATACGTTTGCGTTTTTCATACGGATGTAAGCTTTATGTGGATTTTTGTGCTGGCTAGGGATATGCAGGGACCAAGAAAATTGGATTTTGCGAGGAGGATAAAGTCGGCTCGGCTTGCTAACTGTTATTTTGGGTCATGTTGCTGTTGTTCATCGTTGTTTCCCCCTGTGGTGACATTTCGCAAATATTTTCGTTTCCAGCTAACCCCGAAATTGCTCCGGCCTCTCTTTGGAATCGTAAAGATATCGTCGAGTTCAAAAATACCATCAAGAAAGAGGGAAGCGAGGGAATTATTAAAGTAGGGCACGGAGAAACCGTTACGGTAAGATTTAAAGATCGTCCTAAATACATTTAGTTACTGAGTAACCTTATAGGTTCGCGTACCTACCCATGAGGAAGGCACATGCCTCTTTTGGGAGTTTGCAACTGACTATTATGACATTGGATTTGGTGTTTATTTTGAATGGACAATTGCTGATAGCAATCAGGTGAGGTTCTGTTTGACCCTGGTCTCGGTTACTCAAAAGGCAGTGAGTGATCAGCAAAAGGTGTGTACCTGGGTTTTTTGTATGGACAATTGGGGCGTTCTAAATAAGCCAATGCTCAAACGGCAACCCATATGTCTCATTCTCGGCCAAAAAATTTAACTTTGAACTCTCGCCCGATACCGTAGCCCTCTTGAACGAACTAATCTTCGATTACGGTACTGGGCGAGAGTTTGATTTCTGATCGCGAGTGAATCTAGCTTGCCCACTCAGTGTCCACGTAGGAAACTCAGGTACAAATTTGTCAAGGTATTGACTCTGAGTGAAGTGATCGTATTTTCGACCTTTTAGGTGTCGATTCATGTAAGCGAATCCGATGACGAGGAAGACTTTGATGAAGCAAATCCAGAAGGAGTTGAAGGAGGTGCACCGGTTGCTCCAGGTAGTACTATCGTTCTACTTTTTTACTTTATCTTACCTCTAAACTACCCTTTTTGTATAACATTTTTCGTTTTTTATAATGAAACAAATGATAAGTTCAAAAATGATTGCCAAAAGGATGCGAAATTTCACGATAATTTTTGTATCTGTTTTGTCACTATCCGGTTTTGCGGCTAAGAGCTATACCGGTAGTGCAGCTTCCTTGGTGCTCCTCATCGGTAGTCTGCAAAGAAGCTTCAAAAATTTTAAAAATTGTAAATTTTCGTCTGAGCCTCGGTTTTGAGGAAATCCAGCAGTGGGAGATGTGGAGAGTGGAGGACCGCAAAAACGTATTCGTGATCCGAATAAGCCACGGCAGGACGAAATCATCCCAGTGTATAGGAGGGATTGTCACGAGGAGGTAAATTTGCTTGGAAATTTTTTTTTGACAATATGAAGGTTGTGGAAAACTTGTTTTCTTGCTTTTCCCTCTTTTTTTTGCTTATTTCTAAGGTATTTTGTTACATTTGTCCTTCCAGGTGTACGCTGGAAGCCATAGCTATCCTGGAAGAGGAGTTTATCTTCTTAAGTTCGACAATTCTTATTCACTTTGGCGATCTAAAACCCTTTACTATCGTGTTTACTACAGCAAATGAAGTGCTGACAAATACGCTTAATTAGCACTGTTTTTCTTATGTTAACCAATGGTCATCGTGACAGAATCATCATCGTAATGTTTATCGTATCAAGTCTGTCAATTTTTGTTGTGATTTCAAACATTTATTTCGCTCTGGTGATATGTGCAGTAGTACGAAGTGTACTTTAATTTTTTCTCTCACATTTCGTGAAGTGAGAAAAAATTAACTTATCGCGGATTTGTTTTCGTATTCTTATGGATTTTTCTACACAGGTGTCAATATTATTTATCGCCCATCTCAGATGTGCAACCAATAATCCTTTCTTTGAGCTTTTATTAAGAGTTTTTTTAAATGTGTTTGTTTCTATATCGTAACGACTGATTTTGAGAAGTCCTTGCTGATTTAATGTACTACTGAATCTTGTTTATTTGTATGAAGTGCAGAGAAGAATATGTGTTGGTATGTTTTTATGGTAGTACCGAATGCGTTGTTCTGAAATAATCCAGAAAAGCTTTCTGGAAATCGAGAAGTTAATGCTCATTTTACGCTGGGATAGGAAATGTCTCTGATTGCAAAGTATATTAAGCGAAAATTGCCAGGAAAGGGATGCATTTCGAAGACCGCCGAGAATTGGCTCAAATGTTGAGGAGAACAGAATTTAAATGTGGCTTTTTTTAATGGCTGGTAGCGATTTCAACTGAGTCCCACAGGGGAATTATTGGAAGTACGGGCAAGCGATGTTTTTTCAAGCAACCGAAAGAAAGGCAAAGTTATAAGAAGGGCTAAAGTAAGCCCTGGTATGTCATGTTCCGCTGGTAGAACCAAACAAGACGGAACTCCAACTTCTTGCCGGCATAATGTGGAATCTACTGCGAAGAATTTCCATACCAACCTCTTTTGCACATCAGCGCCCGTGCTGACTTTCTTTCCCGTCAGGGTACACGATTTTCTCTCTTGAAGGACTTGCGGCTAAACCATGAGGATATTTACGTACCGGAGCTAAATCAGCTTTTTGTCAAGCATCTGCAAGCTGAAGGAAAAACCGCACGAGATCGCCTCGCTTCTGAATTATAATATGAAAAAGTCTCTGACCAGTGAAGAACATTGCAACAGTCCTTATCATGAAAGGCTAACTGCAGCTTACAAAGTTGAAGGATCTCATCCTTTGTAATCTTGCACGCATTCAAACACGCATACAAACATGCATTCACGAACAGTGCATAATAGCTCGTTGTCTTACTGTAGATTGAGATGAGGGTCCCATACCAGTAGGGAAAACTAGAGGTGGTTTTTGGGATCTGCAATCAACTTCTGTATGCAAGATTACTGCAGATTTTGAGGTTTTGACTCCATACCGTAACCTACAATATCTCCACAAAGATTTTACCACTACATCATCTTTGTAGTAATCACGCCAAAATTCTTAAACGCAAACTTTCAGCCTACAAAAATTTTATTTTTGGGTCCCGATAATGGAATAGCACCCGAGATTTCGTCATTAAGGATGGTCCCATTCCCTTGGTTAAATCATGCTGACTAGCTAAATCTCTTCCACTTAGGTTTCTTTGTCAGTACATGCCAGATTCTGTTGGGGAACCGTTCTTTTGATAAGAAATGAGTGTGTCGCATGATCCTTTGTAGACAGTGTTCCACCTATATAGCGGAAAGACATAAAACTGTTCCGGCGCTGAAGCTGAGTCCTCATAGTCTTATTCATGATTCGCACTTAAATAGAAGAATTCCGTGATGTGTCTGCTGGAGCAAACAAGTTTTAGGCACAAGTTTTGCTTAGCCAAAGCAATTTTTTGCGTGGAGTCTATGCCTCACGAAAAGTTTTTGGCATCTTTTTTGTACAATAAGGAAAATAAGTTATGGCAGTAAACAGAAACTTGCAAATAGCAATTTTCCGCTGGTCCAGGATCGTGTAAACATCATCGAGCTATGGTTTCCTTCAGAGTCTAGATAAGCGGTTTTTGCATAGCCAATTACACTAATGTAAATGCGATCTGTGGTGGCCTTTCCTTTGATGTAATCTTCCGTCCTCCACTGATGTCTTGCGCTCTTTTGCGTAGCTTTCCCAGTTTGTCCTTGGTAAGAATTGTCTGTGTTCTGGACTCTTTCCTGTACTCTTTGTGGGCTCAGTCCTTCACTTTGCTCCAGTGCTGATGGAGCAACGGAATATTGCATATTTTGTTGATGTCTTCAAGGATTATGTCCAATGGCAAGTTAATGGCTCATTTGATCAAGTCTGAGATATGAAACCTACTGAACATCAACAAAATCCAGGTCCAATGTGAGTCAGATTTTCTCTGATTTTTACGGCCTTCATCACTGATCTGATTTCTTGCATAATTGAGGGTTTGTGAAAGTGTTGTAGACATTTCTGTATTGTAGTTTGTTGGTTTCGGAAAGAGCAGTTCAAAGAAAACCAAAAGCTTTATTCATGGACGATCCTTCTATGGGGGAACGACGGTGAAACAGTTTACTTTTCCACCTTTTCAAAAAAAAATGAACTTCATATTGTCTGAATTTCTTTTCGATTGCATTCAGAAGATCAACTTGTCGACGCTTAAGAACAATATTTTGACATTTGCATAATTTTTATTGTTTTCGATTAGCCCGTACTCATATGAATCCGAATATCAAATTCGCGGTCTGCGCATTCACTCCAGCATAAAAAAAGTTTTTTTTGGGAATTCGTTGCTAGCAAAACTGAAAAGTTGTCATATATTGAGAATATTTGACATGTCTCTTCATTACTGCATATCTCACTTGAATTCAACAGGGTAACTATTTCCTTGACACATTCACGACAACAATTTTTCGATTACTACTGCTTCGGACCAGAGCCTTTTTGGCTTTGTTAAACTTACGACCCACCTGTGGGTCGTATTGTCCGAAATGATAGCCTTTTGGAAAAAGTACAAAACGCATCTCCCAGAATTTTCCCAGAGTTATAATCGAAAGCGTGTTCATTGAAAAATGACTTATTTCAGTTTTTGGCATCATACGGTAAGGTTACGGTAGCCATTCAATACAAAACGAACATCATGGGTTATCATGAAAAATTGTGTTTTGGGGTTATTTCACGTGCTGATCACGATTATAGTGTCCACCTTGATCACTACTGTCCCACATTGCGGCTACGGTAGCAGTACGGTAGAATTTTCGTAGAAGTTGAGAGGCTGATGTACGAAGGTGGTATTAGGACATGAAACTATATTTTCGTAATCAGCATACTATAAAACCTGTACATGTAAGATTCGAGCTTTCTGGAATAAACAATGCAAAAAAATCGATAAGATTATTTTATTATTTTTTGGTGGGCTAATGTCAGTCTCTGACCGCCTCGCATTACTGTGCATGTACACTCGATCTTCCAAAAACACATCATTCTGCCAAAAGTGAGCTAAAGTCTGTGCCTTATATCTATCTACGTTTACCTACCGTAACATTACGTTACAGTATATCCCGAGCCCGGACCACTCTGGCTGGAGCTTCGCCAAGGTGTCCTTAATCATGTGCCAGAACCCCGTAAAATTCCGTCGTAAACTGGCAAAGCTAGCAGGAGTCTTACGACCCACCGGTGGGTCGTATTGTCAGAAATGGCAGGATAACGACGACCCACAGGTGGGTCGTATCGTCGTGAATGTGTTAATGTACTTTCGTAAATAGCTATATGCGAAATTACTTTAGTCCGCATATACAATGACAATGTTGAAAGGACGATCCGATTTTATTCAGCAATATATCAAAGTCTATACACATGTCAGCATTCTTTGCTACTCTGTCTTAGCTTTTAGCTGGTCGCACAAACATCCTCTCATCGTAATCTGCAGATCTATCTTTAGACAAAATTGGTACTTTTGCATATTCGAATCACCATTCTGAACGCTGCAATTTTTCCACCTGCCTAGTTGAATGGGGTTTCCGTTTGTAGAACTGGTTTTAAACCTTACGTAGTCACATCGAACCTGTTCCGTTTTCACGTAAGCGTGTACTTATGAGAATCAAATGAGTTGTTTTCTTGGTTCTCGGGGTTCCTTCTAACACTCGTATAGCTCGTATATAGTCTGAACATATGTTTTATGGGCTATTTTTTATGATATGTGACGGGTTTTATGTTCTGTTGTGACGCAGGGCCTTTTTTGATGTTTACGCATGCTGGAATTTGTAAGAACTGAATTTTGTTATTCTTTTTTGCTGCTAATTTAGGAAATCATGCTCTTTTTCAATGAAAATTGTTGCCTGTACTTGCACATTTAGTTTTCAAAGCCCAAAAAAAATCATTCTGAACCTTCTCTTTTTTGCAGAAATAAACCACCTCCTTTCAAGAAACTTTCTAGTGCAACACCCAAATGTAACCGCAATGGTGCGCGCAATCTGTTCGTTTAGACCCCCCCCCCGTCGATTAGAGTATGTGAGGTCATCTGCGCGAATCTAGCCCCTCATCTGTTCGTAATAAGGATGCCGTCCAGCAATCTGTCGTAACGTTCTCTCTCTCAAAATGTGCTGGACGAAGTTTTTTTCTTCTTTGACGCGTAATGACTCAGTCGGAATCTCTAGCGACATTGACGTTTTGGTTTCTAATTCAAGCTGCTATCGCTAGTATTTTCGTCTTACAGAATATTTCAGCTTTTGAATTTTTTGAATCTTTCACAATAATTCCCGTACGAGACTGTGGAATAAATGCGAAACGCCGGATATTGTATTTTTGTTTGATTCGCAAGTTGTGAGGGTAATTTTTCAATCAAACGCTCATGTTACATCTAGAAAATCAGTGATTGTTATCTTAAAGGTCTGTCCCTGTGAAGAATTCGTCATTTTTGAGTATTTTTGAAAAAATCACAAGATTTGTGGCAATCTTTCAATAAGTCAGTGTATCTCGAGGGTAATAAAGTGAGTAAATGGCCAAATAAAATGGCATAACATATTTTCAACCTTATTCAAATGCGGGAATCCATGAATTACGTTCAGAGACCAAAATTTACGGGATCTATCGTTGGAAAAATAATGAGTAACGGTCATAGCCAAAATCTTCCGTGAGGAATTTGAAAATTTCAGAAATTTGCGAAAAACATTACTATAAGCTATTCTTGAACGTTTTTGATAACGCGCCCTTAAAAATAAGGATTCAGTTTATTGTGCAAAATCCGTACCACTTTGTAATTTCCTTCAGAATTTTTCCGAGCAAAAATATCACTACATCTGAGTGAAAAACTCAGTAGATCTCTGTCATTCGAGATTCATATCATGTACGTAGACAAATAAACAACATGCTTTTCTGAATGTGAGTAAAATCTCATCAGTTCGCCTAGAACATGTGC